AGAAATGCAGCAGAATCCAGTTAGTGCCACTCAACACAGGCATCCTGTGATCCCTGCAGGACATCGGGATGCTCCCAGCTCGAGGTCACATCCCCATCTCCTCTGCCCCCTCAGCCTCCAGGGCTCAGCAGTGAATCTGCTCCCAGATGCTCCACACAGGCTGCTCAACAGCCCTGTTATCTCCAGGACACACACGTGGAACCACAGCAGCAACAAGAGTGTCCTGGGAAGGGCCCTTTCCATGGGAAAGGCTCTGGGAGGAGAGATCCCACCTGGGGGAGCAGCAGCTGTTCCTTCAAGGGGTTTGGTTCAAGTGGTTCAAACAGCAAAGGCCTTCAGCAAGAGGGTTATGACAACTCAGCTCCCCCTGCTCTGCTCTGGCCCAGGGGGAACTCCCCCCTGTGCACCCACTCCTGCTCAGCCCCCCCAGTTCCCCCGGGCAGGAGGTTTGCAAAGAAAAGAGGAAGCAGCAGCAGAGAGATCTCACCCCACTTCCTCCCAAACAAGCAGCACTGCAGGGTTTGTTGCTGCAGAAGCAAAAACACCCCGAGATTTCCCAGAATGGGTTGGGAGGGACCTTAAAGCTCATCCAGTGCCACCCCCTGCCATGGGCAGGGACACCTTCCACCAGCCCAGGTTGCTCCAACCTGGCCTGGAGCACTTCAGTCACCCGTGCAGATGAGCAGCTTTGCTTCCAGGTATCCCTGGAAGTGCTGAGAGGGACCATCTGGAGCCAGCAAATCCCACGTGGCCTCCCCCCAGCACAGCTTTCCTTACTGGGAAAGGAAATTTCAGAAATGTAGATCAAATAAAGTGCTCTCTTCGCCCTGCACAGGCCCACCTGGGGCTCATTCCCATGTCCAAAGGGGAACCTTGCCGTTATTCCAGGAGGAACATCGTTATTCCAGGAGGAACATCGGGCCTTTCTTGCCATCACTGCTCCTCAGAGCGTCCCTGGGAGAGCACCACACTCACCATAACCCCCAAAACTGCCCCAAAAGATGCCCTGAGTGGCAGGAACTGCCCAGAGCTGTTGGCAGAGACACCTCCCGTGGCCACACCCCCCCTCCAGGAGGGGATTTCCCACCTCCAGGCATCTCATTAGTGCAGTGGCTAATTGTGGGATCGGATAACTCAGTGGATAATTATTGGATCAGATAACTCAGGACAACCCCAGGACTGATGCAATCCCTCTTCCCAGCCAGGAGCTGCTTCCAGCTTTGGTGGCAGGGCTGAACCCCTGAACCTTGACTTAATTACAATCCTTACAATAATGACAATTAACTGGCATTCAGCACTTCCAGGATGTCCCAGGAGCGGGAGCAGCTCCACCATCACATCCCCCCCGGAGCTGGGGGGTGGGAATTTGTTCCCCTTTTGGGGCTGTTGCTGTCTCGTGCCCCACAACACAAGATAAAGCAGCTATTTTTGCCCTCAGTGCTGGCTCGAGGTGCCAAGAGATAAAGGACTGGCACGTGAGGGGAACATCTGCCCTCTGCCAACCCAGGTGTGGAGCAGGAAACCCATCTCTGAGACAAAACAGGTTCCTGGGGTGAGGTTACTGCGGGTTTGGGGTTTTTAAGAGCAGGGTTGAAAACAAACCCCAGCATTATAATTTTTCCGTGTTGCTCAGAGGTGCTCTGCAGTTTTTAGGGTTCACACTGAGGTGACCAAGTCTCCTGTTCACAGATGGATTTAAAGGCAGTCCCTCCTCCAAGTTCATTTCCAGTAGCTCTTGGGAAAAAAAGGCTCAAGTCCAGATCTCCAAGTGATTAAAATGGCTCATTAAAACAGGATTTTAGGCAACCTCAACTCTTTTGCTACAGGAAAACAAGCATTTCCCAGCAGTAAGTGCAGAACAGAATGTGCATCACCAGGGGACAAGCAAATAGTTTCATTCCTTTGTTTTGTCTCCTGGAATTCAAACAGTTAGATACCAGTTCCTCTCTTACCCCCTCCCACTCCTTTCTCAGACAGGTCAGGACCACAACAGGCCTTGAAATCACAGAGACACGGGATGGTTTAGGCTGGGAGGGATCCTAAAGCTCATCCAGTTCCTCCCCCAGGGCAGGGACACTTTCCACTAGCCCAAGTTGCTCCAACCTGGCCTTGGACACCTCCAGGGATGGGGCAGCCACAGCTTCTCTGGGCAACCTGTGCCAGGGCCTCCCCACCCTCCCAGGGGAGAATCCAGTGGAAAAGGAAGCAGAGGACAAAACCTTGGCATTCCTGCAGTGGTCCATCATTCCAGGGTGATGCCACAACTCCTCTTTCCTCACCCAGTGTCCCTTCGAACCCCGGTCGGGTCAGGACCAGCCCCGGGTGACAGGATGTGACTCCCCAGCTGGAATTCCCTCCCCAGTTACACAACAGCGGCTTTCCAGGTCTCTCTCCACCCCGAGGAGAGGCCCTCACATCCCGGGAGCCGCTGAATTCCCACGGGGAGCTCCCGGGCTGTTCCCTCCCCATTCCCACCCCGAGCTCG